CCAGCCCGCTGCCACCCAGCCCGCTGCCACCCAGCCCGCTGCCACCCAGCCCGCTGCCACCTTCGCCCAAGCCTCCCAGCCCGCTGCCTCCATCTCCGCTTCCTCCCAGTCCCTCGCCTCCTAGCCCACTGCCGCCCAGTCCCTCGCCTCCTTGCCCACTGCCGCACAGTCCCTCGCCTCCTAGCCCACTGCCGCCCAGCCCTAGGCCTCCATCACCGCTGCCACCCAGCCCGCTGCCACCTAGCCCCTTACCCCCCAGCCCGCTGCCACCGTCGCCCAAGCCTCCGAGCCCCTCGCCTCCTAGCCCACTGCCACCCAGCCCTCGCCCTCCGTCGCCGTTGCCACCCAGCCCGCTGCCACCGTCGCCCAAGCCTCCCAGCCCGCTGCCTCCATCTCCGCTTCCTCCCAGCCCCGCGCCTCCCAGCCCGCTGCCTCCATCTCCGCTTCCTCCAAGCCCCTCTCCTCCAAGCCCACTGCCACCCAGCCCGCGCCCGCCGTCACCGTTGCCACCATCGCCCAGGCCCCCCAGTCCGCTGCCACCCAGCCCTTCTCCACCAAGCCCTCGCCCTCCCAGCCCCCGCCCACCCAGCCCTTCACCACCGCCTCCACCGCCGCCGCCACCCCCGCCGCCGCCATCACCCCCACCTCCGCTCGCTCCCTTCACTCCTGTGAAGATTCGGTCGCCGTTTCCATTCTGCGCGTAAGTCATGTTGCCTTCGTGCTAATTGTTATGTCGCCTTACGGCCACTGAGATAAATACAGCTTTTGAAACCTACTGCCTACCTGTCTCTAGTAACCGTGGCTCATCTTGTTTGACGGCCCCGTCTAGCACCATGAATTCATGTTAGTTTCACAATGGCTGGGTGAGCCTTCAACGCCCATTGGTTGCTTACAGATCTACAGCCGTCCTTTGCTGGATAGGTCGTTCACGTTTGCCGCTTACCTAGAAGCGCTCATTTCATGTCGATTGGGGCTTCAGTGCATAAGACGTCATCCCCTAATGGCCACGGCCCACCCACTACCCACACGCAGTTGCAATCGCACCCTGCCTGGTCTGGTCCCCTTCACCTTCGACAAGACACCGTCGCTCAGCCTGAACGGAGGCAACCGCCGGTACTGCCTGACACTCCGTACAGTGCCGTGTGCGGACCCTAGCAGCCCCTGTTGCGGCCAGGCGCTCTCCAAAGTGGAGTGGTGGTCCAGGGAGAGCTGTCGAGGGTCCGTACGGGCCGTGTACCTGGACGGGATCAAGATAGACTCGCAGTGGGGCGTCAATGGGACGTTCAAGATTCCCCAGCTGAACATGGCCCCCAGCTCGGTTCCCCTCCAGGGCCGGCAGGTGTGTCTGGAGCTCTTGTCGACGTCCACATGCCCCACCCTGGCTACCTTCTGTGCCAAGGGAGGCCTGGGTGCCTGCACGTATTCCATGTTTTCGGAGGACAAGGATTGCTGCCCGATCGGCTCATTCGTGACGCTTGGCAGGCGCCGATAGGTAGGGCCGTGTAGCAGCGATCGAGCCGCATGCATCCCTGTGGCAGATCGTGGTGAGTTAGGTTACTGCTGAGATAAGCAGGAGTTGTAGCGCGCTGCAAGCAATACCACAGCTTCACCTGGTCACATTGAGTTGACTTTGCTGTCTTAAGCGCACGGCCGGTGCCATGGTGTCATTGCCGGTGGCTGCGTGATGTATATTGGTTAGGAAGCAGGATGGATAGCGTACGGCAACGAATACGCATCATTGAACGGAATAGAACGTTACGAGGCTTCTAGCTAGAATTAGCTGAGTAAAATTGTCCTTAGCGTCAGCAAGTCATCCACATTGCGTGGTTGGAAAGACATGAACACTAGAAGACGCGCCATAAGGTAGGCAGCGGTGTAGCTGCCTGGCGGCTAGTACAGAACATACGTTGTATCTGAACGATATCGATGAATCGATGGGTGTAACTATGCAGTAAGTATGGCGTATTCATCGTCTTTAAACACGCGCAAAGCGCTCTGCTATCGTCTTGGGAGGCCTTTTCAGTGGCCGCTACTATGGAACAGTCAGGTCTCCAGAGGACATCGTCTCAGGTTGCACCGGCGCCATCGTTTCCCACTTAAAAACCAGCAGGAGCAGGATATGCAGGTCCCTTCTTTTCGGCAGTGATGTCCAGCAGTTGCCCCTATCAGGGGGACTTTGTCCCGGCGGTTAATGTGTGTATAACGGTAAAGCCCGGTATATAAGGCAAGGCAGGCGCTTGACCACTGCTGCGCCTCAAGCAGTCTTAATCAACTAAGAGTCGCCAATCGCCATGAATTGCTATATATATATGCCATTAGAGACCGTGCACGGTCCATACCTTGCTGCTCTTCATCCTGTCCACTTGTACCTAACGGCATCTGCATCTTTCGCTTCGGCAGCTGTTAAGCCATCTTGTACCTATCATGTATCTATCCACCTATTTCCCCTACTAGCCCACATCTTCATTCCTACCTGGCCGCCTTCCTCCTAATCCTATCACTATGACGACGGGTGATCGCGTTAAGTCCGCGTTAGCTCGCGTTAGTTCGCGTAACGGTGCGAATCTTAGCGTTAGGTGCGAATGAGCATGCTTTTGTAACGCAAAGAGCTAACGCACAACGGCTATGGAAAAGCGGAAATCGGCCCTTCTGGCCAAGTTTTTTAAAAATTTATAATTTTCAGATTGTAAAAGTTTATTTGGAAATAAACTTGCGTCGTTTTGGTCGACTTGAACAATTCATCCGTGCGTATGTTCAAACGCGAAGCATACGCGCATGTGTAGCAAGGCGATACGCATGCGATTCCATATTGCGATTCGTGCGTGTGGGGAGACAATGCGTAAAGCAATTCGCGTCCACTCGCACATGAAACGCACACAGTCCGCAAGGCTATTTGCATGCGAATGCATGTTGCGTATCATGCGTATGAGGGCTGATTGCGTAAAGCTTAACGCGGCCTAACACTCACCTTACGCACACATTTCGCAACGCATTTCGCATGCTAATACATGCTGCGTTTCATGCGTATAAAGGCTCATTGCGTAAAGCTTAACGCAGCCTAACACTTACCAAACGCACACATATCGCAACGCAATTCGCATGCAAACAAATGTTGCGTTTCAAGCGTATGAAGGCTCGTTGCGTCAAGCTTAATGCGGCCGAAGCTAACACACAACAAGCACACACGATTTACCTTTGATGAATCGCAAGACATAACAATTCACATGCGATGTTTTATGTGTTGGTCGCATACTCAGTTCGTAAACCTTCACGCAGTCTCATGAGAGAATAACATGCTTGGCAGCACTCAGGGGGGGCTTCCGCAAACGAAATCGCATCAGGCGCAGCCCTACATCGCACAACGATTCATCATACCATCAACTAGATGCCAGAAAGGTGGCGGGACATGCCGCATGCGAACGCGGACGCAATTAGAACCCCGCCGTGAGATGCGTTGGCGGCTGTGAGGCAGGTGGGGACATGCCTGGAGGCTGAAAGGGCTTCCGGACGCATAAATCGCACCAGGCGCCGTCGTACGCCGGACCAACGATGCATCACAACATTAACTAGTTGTTAGAAAGGCGGCAGGAATAGGAGCATTCATACGCGCACGCAATTAGAACCCCGCCGTGAGATGCGTCGGCGGCTGTGAGGCAGGTGGGGACATGCCTGGGAGGCTGAAAGGGCTTCCGGACGCATAAATCGCACCAGGCGCCGTCGTACGCCGGACCAACGATGCATCACAACATTAACTAGTTGTTAGAAAGGCAGCAAGAAAAGGAGCATCCATACGCGCACGCAATTAGAACCCCGCCGTGAGATGCGTCGGTGGCTGTGAGGCAGGTGGGGACATGCCTGGGAGGCTGAAAGGGCATAGATCGCACCAGGCGCCGTCGTACGCCGGACCAACGATGCATCACAACATTAACTAGTTGTTAGAAAGGCAGCAAGAAAAGGAGCATTCATACGCGCACGCAATTAGAACCCCGCCGTGAGATGCGTCGGTGGCTGTGAGGCAGGTGGGGACATGCCTGGGAGGCTGAAAGGGCTTCCGGACGCATAAATCGCACCAGGCGCCGTCGTACGCCGGACCAACGATGCATCACAACATTAACTAGTTGTTAGAAAGGCAGCAAGAAAAGGAGCATTCATACGCGCACGCAATTAGAACCCCGCCGTGAGATGCGTCGGCGGCTGTGAGGCAGGTGGGGACATGCCTGGGAGGCTGAAAGGGCTTCCGGACGCATAAATCGCACCAGGCGCCGTCGTACGCCGGACCAACGATGCATCACAACATTAACTAGTTGTTAGAAAGGCAGCAGGAAAAGGAGCATTCATACGCGCACGCAATTAGAACCCCGCCGTGAGATGCGTCGGTGGCTGTGAGGCAGGTGGGGACATGCCTGGGAGGCTGAAAGGGCATAGATCGCACCAGGCGCCGTCGTACGCCGGACCAACGATGCATCATAACATTAACTAGTTGTTAGAAAAGCGGCAAGAAAAGGAGCATCCATACGCGCACGCAATTAGAACCCCGCCGTGAGATGCGTCGGTGGCTGTGAGGCAGGTGGGACATGCCTGGGAGGCTGAAAGGGGGGCATAAATCGCACCAGGCGCCGTCGTACGCCGGACCAACGATGCATCATAACATTAACTAGTTGTTAGAAAGGCGGCATTAATAGGAGCATTCATACGCGCACGCAATTAGAACCCCGCCGTGAGATGCGTCGGTGGCTGTGAGGCAGGTGGGACATGCCTGGGAGGCTGAAAGGGCTTCCGGACGCATAAATCGCACCAGGCGCCGTCGTACGCCGGACCAACGATGCATCATAACATCAACTAGTTGCTAGAAGGGCGGCGGGGTAAGGAGCATCCATACGCGCACGCAATTAGAACCCCGCCGTGAGATGCGTCGGTGGCTGTGAGGCAGGTGAGGACATGCCTGGGAGGCTGAAAGGGCTTCCGGACGCATAAATCGCACCAGGAGCCGTCGTACGCCGGACCAACGATGCATCATAACATCAACTAGTTGCCAGAAAAGCGGTGGGGAACGCGTCTTCATCAGTCACGCTCGCTAGCCAACCATCATGGGGAAGGGATGTAAGACCGTCATCCTCTGGGATGGGTCGAACTACTCCCACTGGCTCGGCGAGTTAGGCGATTTCCTCACAACGTCCAAGTTGAAGAGCTACATCAACAACCCGTCGCCTCCGAGCCGCAAGTCCCAAGACGCCCTGGAGGAGGACGCACAGGCGCTCAGCTACCTGCGTCTGTCCTGTGAACTGCCCATCAAGCAGTTGCTCATGAATTGCCCAACCGGTCTCGCCGCCATGCAGCTCTTACAGCAACAGTTCCATTCTGCATCCCAGGCCCGGCTGAGCCTGGTTGAGCCGCAGATGCAGCTGAACATGCGCGATGGGGAGACAACCGCTGACTTCATTTTGCGGGCAGAGCAGCTCCGTAGCCATATAATTGTGGCCGGCGGCCAGTGGGACGAGAGCACGGTGCGCCACGCCATTCTCCATGGCCTGCCTCCGCAGTACGCCATCACCATCGAGTTCACGATGTATCAGCCCAACTTAACGACCCCACAGCTCGTGCTCATGCTGCGGGAGAAGGACAACGACCTCAAGACCCAAGCAAGCAAGACCAGCCTGGTGGGATCTGTCGGCCCTGGCTGTGCCACCAGTGGAGTCGGCAGCACCGCCAGTGCTGCAGGCGCCGTGGGGGCCGGCGACACCTGCCGCTACTGCGGACAGCCTGGTTACTACATCTGCGAGTGCCCCGTTAAGCAGGCGGACGAGTCCGTCGGCCTTCACCACAGCAACGCATTCGAGCAGCTGCACGCCGCCGGCAACATCAGTTGAGGCAGCCGCAACCGCCACTGTGACGGCGGCGGCAGGGACACTGGCAGCGGCAATGGCGGTAACAGCGGGGCCGACGGAACACGTGAACGCGGCCGTGCTTGATGTGGCAACAGCCACCGCAACGGCAGCGACACTGCAGGCGGCAGCAGTGGCAGCGGCTCGGGCAGCAGCGGAAGCAGCTCACGCCAGAGCCGTGCCACAGTGCTGGTCATCGACGGCAGTGGCAGCAGCTCACGAGTCATCCTCGACTCAGGCTCACCGTACCACCTCACGGGTGACCACTCCCTGCTGCACAACCACGTCCCCGCCGGCGCGCCACGGCTGATCGAGTGGGGCAACAACCAGCTGGCCGATGTCATGGGAACAGCGCAGCTGCACCTGCGTACACGTGATGGACACAATGTCCGGCTGCACAACATGCTGCACGTCCCCAGCTCGGGCCTCATCCTAACATCTGTCAACCTTCTCGTGACACGCAGCTGCTCAGTCACATTCAGCACGGACAAGACGGGCTGCTGGTTCTCATGCATCGGCCTCCCTTGCAACAGCCCGGCTATCACCGCATGGAATGAGCGTGGGCACTACACATGGACTGGACCTGCAGGCGCCGACCGACATCACCGTC